CCACTGCCACCCGGCGCCACGCATGCTCCGACGCCAAGCCCGACGCCAGAGCCGACGCTGTATCCGACGCCAAGCCCGACGCCAGACCCGACGCGGTATCCGACGCCAAGCCCGACACGAGACCCGACTCGGAATCCGACGCCAAGCCCGACGTCAGAACCGACGGCAACCATGGCGACCTGCGTGGACGTTCCAGGGTGGGCGAGCAAGGATGGTACACCTTGCTCCTGGTATAACACGGCCAATGTTTGCACCACGTCTGGAGGCTATGCATCGGGATGGCAGTCTTATTGGGGCACATTTGCAGATTGGGCGAACAATGGATATGACGGTTCGACAGCATGCTGCGGCTGTGGTGGGGGCACGTCACCGACTCGTTGCCAGTACATCGAGATCCCTTCAAATACACTCGGGTATGTTCAATTGCCGTACAGTAGCAACATTCGAGCTTTGTCAATGTGGATTGCACCGTACAAGGATGGAGGCTACCCCTGGGAGTACATATTTGACGCACGTACCGGATTGGGCGATGGACATTTCTCGTTTCTCGATTGGTCATCTGGCAGCGCGTATATCCACAAGGGCAGTTATTGGAGAGATACGATATATGTCAACGGAGTTGCCGCTACCACTAGCACCTTGGTTGCGAGTGTCAATAGTGCCACGACCACCTACGCACCGTGGATTCACCTGTACGTATCGTCAGACAGAACTTTCGGCGACGATATAACGGTGTTCGCCCGATACTCGCTCAATGAGAATTTGGCTGGAAAGATCCATTCTGTGCAATTGTGGCCGTCTGAGTTGTCCTCTTCTGACATTTTGGCCGCGGCTTCGGGACAGACGACATCAGTAACGCCCACGCGTTCCTATTCCGCGGCAGATTTAAGGTTGTACAGATCTGGGACCGCGTCCCTCGTCGCCAATCAGGTCGGCACTACGCAGTGCCCGCCAAGCCCGACGCCAGCCTCGACGCCGCATCCCACGCCGAACCCGACGCACAGCCCGACGGCACACCCGACGCCGAACCCGACGCGCAGCCCGACGGCACACCCGACGCCAAACCCGACGCGTAGTCCTACTGCACACCCGACGCCAAACCCGACGCACAGTCCGACAGCACACCCGACGCCGAACCCGACGCCGTTTCCGACGCCAAGCCCCACGGCAAGCCCAACGCCGAATCCGACACAGCATCCAACGCCAAGCCCGACGCCAAGCCCGACGTCGAGCCCGACGCCAAGCCCGACGCCATCTCCGACGACAAGCCCGACGGCAAGCCCGACGCTGTCTCCGACGCAGTATCCAACGCCGAGCCCGACGGCAAACCCGACGGCAAGTCCCACGCGGACTCCGACGTCTGCGCCCACCTATCCCCCGCTCGGGGACGTGTACGCATCAGGTACTTGTAGCTGCTCCAGTCCCCCCTGCGGATGTAACTGTTGGGATTGCACAGAAGCGCGTCAAGCTGCTGGATGTTGCAGTTGCGAAGGTGGGGGGAGTTGCGGATATGGCGATACAATGACTTTGTGCGACGGTTGCATGGGTTGTTGGTACAAGGGCAAATGTGGTTGCAGTACAGATTCAGTTACTTGGCCCTTCTATGATGTGTTCGGTCTCACGTGCTCGAGTGACGCAGGCAGCTACTTGTCCTACCATGCAGTGCCACCGACCTCAAGCCCGACGCCGATCCCGACGCCAAGCCCGACACCGTTGCCACCCGGCGTCACGTTTTCTCCTACCCCGAGTCCGACGCCAAGCCCGACGCCAAGCCCCACGCCAAGTCCGACGCTATCCGAAACTCAGAAAACTTGCGGCTGCTCGAACCCACCCTGTGGTTGCAATTGTTGGGATTGCACAGCAGCGCGCAAAGCTGCTGGATGCTGCAGCTGCGACGATGGCTGTGGCTATTTCGATCTCGCAGATTCTACATGTGACGGCTGCAACGGTTGCTGGCACGGCGGCCTGTGTGGTTGCAGCACAGATTCCTCGACTTGGCTCTACTATCGGGCATTCGGCCTCTCGTGCTCCAATGAAACAGGCAGCTACCTGTCCAATCACGCAAAGATTGCTGGCGAGTACTCCGCGGAGGAATCTCTTCCAGACGGCGTGACTGCGGAGGACCTCATGAGTTCCACAACCTACGTGTCCGCCAAGAAGGTCGGTCTGGCTAATGCTCTGAACGTGTCCGTTTCCGACGTGGAGATCACGGGATTCGTCGTCACGACCCATCCTGATCGGCGCCCCGCTGCTGTCCGCCAGCTATCGCGGGACTCGCACGTCACCGTGACAACGAGCTTCACGGTGGAGATCGTCGGCAGCAAGAGCGCCGCGTCCCTAACCGCCGCGATCGTTGCGATGGTTGATATCATTGAGGCCGAGACGAACGAAGCTATGGCTGCCTCTGACTGGAGTACTGAGCCGGTCATTACTGTGGCCCCTACGCTGACGGCTCCTTCCGTGGGCGCAGCGGGTTCGACTGCGGGCGTTACCACTGCTCCCACGCCGGTTCCCGTCATCATTGGGGCCAGCATGGGCGCCGTCGCGGCCACCGGCGACCCGCATTTGCAGAACATCTTCGGCGAGCGTTTTGACCTCATGCAGGCTGGCAGGCACCTCTTGGTCCAGATCCCGAGGGGCGCGCGCACTGAGGTCTCCCTGCTGCGTGTGGAGGCGGAGGCGCAGAGGTTCGGTGAGTTGTGCGCGGACATGTACTTCCAGGAGCTGAACTTGACGGGAAAGTGGGCGGACGAGAAGCAGGCTGGCGGTCTCAGGTACCGCGCAGCAGAGGCCGTCACGGAGGATCCCAAGTGGGTGCATTTTGGGAGGGTGGACCTCAAAGTCGTGCACGGACGTACGTTGGAGGGGATCCGCTACCTCAACGTCTACGTGAAGCACTTGAACCAAGCCGGGTTCTCTGTCGGAGGCTTGTTGGGCGAGGACGACCATAGCCAGGAAGCGACCACTCCTGAAGGTTGCAGGCATCGTCGGATGAGCCTTTAGCAAAGAAAGGACGGCCCGAGCACGGCCACCGTCTCTAGCATGGAGCCTAGCTGGGCCAGCCTGGCGTAGGGTGCGCTCCCGGTCCCTTCTGATCCTCCTCTTGGGCGCGACAGCCTCCCTCACTGGCCTGGTGCGGAGGTGCACGGTCAGCTCCCCCCCTTCTTTCAGAGCCCCGAATCATCAGGGGTAATTCGGGTCAGGGATAACTCGGGTTCGTTTTTGGGGAATCCAAACCCGAGTTACCCTGGACCCGAGTTACCCCGGATAACTCGGGCGCCCAGAGCCCCGAATCATCAGGGGTAACTCGGGTAAGGGCTAACTCGGGTTCGTTTTTCGGGAATCCAAACCCGAGTTACCCCGGACCCGAGTTACCCCGGATAACTCGGGCGCCCAATTCTTCTTCTTCTTCTTCTTCCCCTTTCCTGCTCCGATCACCCTTGTTGAGCCGCACGGCCAGCGCCGCCCCCCCACCTTCGGCGAAATGGTATACGTCTGGCTGGGGGGGCAGCTGCGCACCGATGCCACGATTTTTTTGAGGCCCGCGTCCCTCTCCTCTCGGGGGAGCGTAAGACCCGGGTTTGCCAGGACTCGGGTCCGCCATCGTTTTTTGACGACCGCGATTCGGATTTTGACGAGGAGGAGTTTCGTGGGATGTCTGCAGCGGGAGGCCTCGTCGAAATGCAGGCTCGGCCTCGTCATTTTTTCGACGACCTCGTCGGGGATTTCCGAGTCCCCTGTACCCGGGTCTGACGCCCCCCTGACCCTCGTCTCCGTCCCTTTCCTCGCCTCGCATCCCCTTTTGGTTCTTCCCACACTCCCTTCGCTTGGCATTGCCTCCAGCTCCGGTCACCCCTTTTTGAAGCTGAGCGGCGCCTGCTCGTGCCGAAACGCACGTTGGCGCTCGAGGCGATCAAGCAAAAAACGTCTGTAGGAACAACGGTGATCGTGGCGTCTCGGGGTCCTCTCGGGGGACCTCCTGGAGCACTCTTGGGGCGTCTCTTGGGGTCCTCTTGGGCCGTCCAGGGGCCGCCTTTGGCGTCCTTGGAGCGGTCTTGGGCGACTCGGGGCCCTCTTTGGCCGTCTCGGGGGGCTCTTGGGGCCCTCTTGGTCCGCCTGGGAGCCCTCGTCCATCCCAAAAGCTCAGCGATGACTCGCGCCAAGATCGAGACGCGCTCAAGAACACGCAGAACTCGGGGATGTAGGCCCCGTGAAGAGTATTCGCGCTCCATGCAGAGGGCCCTGAGGGACCCGAGGACACTCCGCTTGGAGCCTCGGGGCACGGTGGCGGATTTACGGGGGGCAGCGATAGCCCCATCCCCGAAGGGGAAGACGGAGGTTACGGTCGGACCGAGGCATACGATCAAGGTCGGTTCGGGAAGGGTACCCTATTGTTCTTTGTGTTTGTTGGATGCTCTTCGTGCATCCTGGGGGAGGGTGCCCTTGGATGTTCTTCAGTTTGGCCAGCGGAGTGTCTCACGTTCTTGAAGGATGTTTTTCTGTCTTAGGTCGGACCGCATGGAGGCAGCGATTACCCCATCCCAGAAGGGGGAGAAGGGGGTTAGAACAGGAAGCGCCTCAGACTACTAGCAGGGAGCCTTTCCATCAGCGTGCACGCGTGTGTCCAACTTTCTCTCTTTGAGGCAGTGACTGTGTGCCAGTTGCGGGACTGCCCGTTGTGGTGGTTTTCTCGTGCCTCGTCAGTCAAGTTCGCAATGTATGAAGGCCTCTTTGTTTTGACTGCGTGATGTGGGCGTGCCAGAACGTGTTCTGCAACCTCTGCAGGAGTGCAGTGTCCGCTCTTGCATGCTATTTCCTGTTCCAGTCGCCCGAGTCTGTCGGCCACACAGCGATGGTGGTGCAGCTTTTGCCGACATCTCCTTCTCTCATGCCCTCTTCTCTCCTCCCTCACCGCCTCCTCACTCCCCGTCTATTCTCCACTTCTAGTTCATGTCCTTGGGATGGCAGCTGTACTGATCATTTCTCACGCTCCTAATGAGGAGCACGGCTTTGACTGCATGGATGTGGTTAAAGACATGGAGGCCCCTGGCCAACCTTTGCACGGGGAACAGTGGATGTGGGATGGACCTCAGGAACACTGGCATTGTATCGATGTTGTGGGGAGGATATGGGTGGGTGGCGATGTGGGCGGGAAAGGGAGGGGGAGAGTGAGGGGTAGGGAGAGCAGAGGCCGGATGAGGAGGATTTGGAGTAATGAGGACATGGAGGCTTCTGGCTACGGAGTAGTCTCTACACCGACTTGGCTCTACAGGGGCTGACGAAGACCATGTGCGTGCAGTGCGGACGGCAATGATAAATTGATGATGCTGGCGCGGCGGGTGAGTGGCGCTTGTGGCGCGCCGTTGACAATGGATGCTGTCTCGTTTCCAGTTCACAAGCTTACAAGCTCACAAGCTCATCTAGGCAGCCTTGTTTCGCAGGCTGCGTGCGTGCGTGCAAGCACGGGTGCAGCTCATGTGTGACTTCAATGCTTCGCCAGTCTCTGCCCGGCGTGCCCCTCTTCTCCCTGGTGCAGTCAGCCGTCCGTCTGTCACGCCTGCCACGCCGCCTTGGCCGTCAGGAAAGCCACATGCGCGACATAGGCATGGCTCCAGGCCACGTCATCAAGCTGAGGAGTCGAAGCCTCCTCTAGATTTGGGAAGCAACACGACTGCATGTTCGTGTCAGGGGGCTGCTCAGGGCAGTTGAGCAGAGGAGCAGTGATAAAGTGTCCGAGGGTAATTCGCCTGCCTTTGACTGTCTTGATTGCTTGGTTTCTCCCCCCATGGTGGGCCCTGTCCCGCTAACCTCCGTCTTTTATGTTGATTATTTTTCTTCTCTCTCTATCTCTCTCCCTCTCTGTCTGTCTGTCTGTCTGTCTGTCTCTCTGTCTCTCTGTCTGTCTGTTAGTCTGCCTGCCTGCCTGCCTGCCTGTCTGTCTCTCAGTTCCTGCCTTCTTCTCATCCTCTCCCCCCTCCCCCGCCTCATCTCAGCAGCCAAGTTGCCTGATTCCGGCCCCAGTGGTCTTCGGTGAGGGGCGGCAGGCGGGCTCACTCGGGGTGGCATCGGTTGGCTGAAGGGGCAGAGTGTCGCCGCCTCTGGGGCCCGGACCGACGGGAGTGGGCCAGAAGCATCAGGGGTGGGCAGACCTCCTAACAGTGACACGTCGATTAGTGAATTGTCCGTTTTCGGTTCTCGAGATGGCGCCGCGGCCGCTATTTTCCAGGCTTGCGCCCGCCAGGTTTGGGCCCGAGGTCGTTTTCACTGAACCACGTTTTACTAAAGGGAGGTCTGTCCATCCCCGAAAGCAGCAGTCCATGACTCAGTTCACAAGGCCTCGTGTCCCCGCTGTCCGAGTGCGGGCCGGAGGAGGGGCTTGGTCAGATGGGCGGGTCACGCCCCGGCCTCCGAGAGGAACGAGGACGGGCCAGATGGGCTCTTCCTCCTCCTCCTCCTCCTCCTCCTCCTCCTCCTCCTCCTCCTCCTCCCTCCTCCTCCTCCCCCTCCTCCTCCTCCTCCTCCTCCTCCTCCCCCTCCTCCTCCTCCTCCTGATCGCCTTTCTGTAGGAAGCGCGAACCTGCATGAAGGCGCGTGGATCAGCGACGGGCCCCGTTCCCAGATGTAGCCGGCGCGCTCCGCCTCCAGCGTCGGGCGGTTTCTGTGGACATTGCTCGGGGGGCGCGTTCCCCGATCCGGTGGGTCCGGCACCCCCGCGCCAGATCCGCGGGCCCGGGATCCCCGTGAGCGTGCCTCCGGACTCCCGTTCCGCGCGTCGCGGCCGGGGCCGCCCAGCTGGCCCTCTCCAGGGGGGCAGCGCGAGGGCGCGAAGAGCAGCGCGCGCCTCGCGCCTCGCGCCCCGCGATGCGCGGAGTTCGGTGACCCAGCTTCTCCAATGCAGGCGATGTATGGTTCCTGTTCCCAACCATCCTGTGGTGTTGGGTCCTCGTTTTGCAGAGACAGCGCCCCGCGTCACTCACTCCTCCTCCTCCCCCTCCTCCCTCCGTCCTCCTCCTCCTCCTCCTCCTCCCCCTCCCCGTCCTCCCCCTCCTCCTTCCTCCCTGCGTTTCGCCCACCCAGTACAGCGTTTCGTGGCCCCATGGGGAGCTCCACCGAAGGCCCCAGTGTCACCGCCCGCATGCGCTACCCACACCAATTTCGGCACACACCTTACACGGTTCGTGGCCCCATAGGGAGCTCCACCTAGAGCCCCAGTGCCACCGCCGCATGCGTCACCCACACCCATTTCGGCACACCCCACACGTTCGTGGCCCCATCGGGAGCTCCACCGAAGGCCCCAGTGCCACTCTGCATGCGTCACCCACGCCCATTCCGTCACACCCCTCACGCGTTTCGTGGCCCCATAAGGGAGCTGCACCGAAGGCGCCAGTGGCTGCGTTCGCATGCGCCCACGGCACCCAGAACGGGACACCCATCACACGATTCGCGGCCCCACAGGGAGCTCCACCGACGGCCCCAGTGGCTGCGTTCGCATGCGCCCACCGCACCTATTTCGGCACACCTCTCACGCGTTTCGTGGCCCCATAGGGAATTCCACCGACGGCCCCAGTGGCTGCTTTAGCATGCGTCCACCAGACCAGTTTCGCGGCCCTACAGGGAGCTCCTCGGAATCCGGTGCATACGACGACGGTATTCACAACGCATATGGGTGGGTCCTTCGCCAGGCTAACTCTTGGAATTCTCGACCATTCTCGACCCCTTCCCCAGGAGTACTTCTTCGGATCCGTTTTTGGCCCCGGGGTTCGAAAACGGCCCCCAGAGGCCGAAGAGGAACAAACCCGCTGGGACTAAATTAGCCTGGCGAAGGACCCAACCATATGCAGGTCTTAGCACCGTCGTTGTATGCACCGCATTCGGAGGAGCTCCCTATGGGGCCACGAAGCGTGTGAGGAGTGTGCCAAAAATTGTCCGGTGGGCGCATGCGAGAGCAGCCACTTGGGCCGTCGGTGGAGTGCCCTATGGGGCCACGGAACGCGTGCGGGGTGTGCCGAAATGTGTGCGGTGGGCGCATGCGAACGCAGCCAGTGGCGCCGTCGGTGGAGCTCCTTATCGGGCCGCGAAACGTGTGAGCGGTGTGCCGGAATGGGCGTGGGTGACGCATGCGGGCGGTGGCACCGGAGCTTTCGTTGGAGTTCCTTATGGGGCCACGAAACGTGTGAGGGGTCTGACGACATGGGTGTGGGTGACGCATGCGGGGGGTGGCACTGGGGCATTCGGTGAAGCCACCTTTGGGGCCACGAAACGCGTGCGGGGTGTGCCGAAATGGGTGTGGGTGACGCATGCGGGCGGTGGCACTGGGGCCTTCGGTGGAGCGCCCTATGGGGCCACGAAACGTGTGAGGGGTGTGACGAAATGGGTGTTGGTGACGCATGCCTGCGGTGGCACTGGGGCCTTCGGTGGAGCTCATTATGGGGCCACGAAAATTGTCGGGGGTGTGCCGAAATGGGTGTGCGTGACGCATGCGGCCGATGGCACTGGGGCCTTCGGTGGAGCTCCCTATGGGGCTACGAAGCGCTGTATTGGGTGGGTGAAACGCAGGGAAGAGGGAGGAGGGGGAGGAGGGAGGAGGAAGGATGGAAGGAAGGAGGAGACGCGGGGACCGTCTCTTCAAAACGAGGACCCAACACCACAGGATGGTGGGGACAAAATCAATCCGCTGGATGTCTGGGTTTCCCCCTGGGAGGAGGAGGAAGAGGAGAAGGAGAAGGAGGAGGAGGTGGAGGAGGAGGACCAGTGTACACCCACGAGTCATCAACGATGTTGAGTAAACCCTCCCTCCAAGCTCCCTCTTCATACGCCCCTACAACGGTTCATTTCCACTGAGGGAGCTGCTTCGTTGGGCGACAGCCGTTTGAAGACCCTGAAGCATGCCAAAACATAGTTCTCGGGATTCCAACGCCACGGATCAACTTGACAATTGCGCCTTGACGATCCTGAATTGCGTCAGAACGCCATTTCTGTGACTTCAACACAACGAATCAACGTACCTACTCCGTCCTCATAATCTTGAGTCCATCCAAAACACCATTTCCGGCACGTTTATCATAGGCATCCGTGAAGCTTTTGCAGTTTTGTAGAGCGAATATGCGTGCGGCGCTAAGGCGAAAGCCACATTTTGAAAAGGAATCGCCCTCAAACCGTGCAGCTCTTGCATTTGTTTCGAACGACTGTGCACGGCACTAAGGCGAGAGTCGCATTTTGAAAACCAAGGCCCACAATCCGTGTAGTTCTTGCAAATTCTTGACGCTTCGCGTATCCCCACCAGCCCATCCAGTAACGATGCCCAGGCGAATGGAGGCGATCAGGGAAGTGAGGGAGCATACAGAGTAACAAAGGGCTGGGGAACCCATCTTACCCAAGACGGCGAGGATGGAGGAGGAATCGGAGGAGGATGAGGAGGAGGAGGAGGAGGAACTCAAGGAGGAGGAGGGGGAGCGGGAGGAGGGAGGAGGGAGGAGGAGGAATAGGCGGATGAGGAGGATGAGGAGGAGGAGCAGGAGGAGGAGGAGAAGGGCGAGCAAAGTGGCCAGAGGCTTCTTGGATGCCTCTCGGAGTCTCTTCGGATGTCTCTTGGGAGCGTCCTGAAGGCCTCTTAGGGCGTCTTGGGAGCGTCTTGGCGGTCCCGGAGGCCTCTTGAAGCGTCTTGGGTGCCTCGGGGAGCCTCTTGAGGCCTCTTTGGGGTCTCTTGGGAGCCTCTTGGGGGCCTCTTGGGGGCCTCTTGTGGCCTTCTGGGCGCCTCTTGGGGCCCTCTTGGGGCGCTCTTGGGGGCCTTGGGGGCGCTCTTGGGGCCATCTTGGAGGAGATCGATCAAAGAAAGGGAGGGTCCGGATTCGCCCTGCCCCTCTAGAGCGCCTAAATCGCCTCTTGGGCCCCTCTTGGAGCGCTCTTGGGGCGCTCTTGGGCGCTCTTGGGGCCGTCTTGGGGCCATCTTGGGCCCCTCTTGGGGCCCTCTTGGGCCATCTTGGAGCCATCTTGAGGCCTCGAATAAAGCAAAAAACATTGATTTTCCTCAGGTTTTTTTATAAGGATTTTGGCCTCTTGGGGGGTCTCCTTGGAAGTCTCGGAGGCCTCTTGGAGTCGTCTTGGGGCGATCTTGGGGCCCCTTGGAGCATCTGGGGAGCCATCTTGAGGCATCTTGGGCTATCTCGAGGCATCCTGGAGGTCATCTTGGCCTCTCCGAGGCCCTCTTGGAGCCGTCTTGGGCCGTTTTGGACGCCCTGACACCTCGCGAACCCCCCCGTCCAGGTCCAGGGGAGGGGGTTAGGGGGAGGGGTAAACCCCTCCCCGAAGGGGAAGGAGGGAATATGGAAGAGGAAACTCCCTAAACCACCTACGCCCAGAGGGCTGGTGGGATTTGTAAAACGAATGTGCGCGGCGCGAAGGCGAGAACCACATTTTGAAAACCACCCGCCTGTGGAAATCTGAACCGTTTGAGCTCAATCGTATCCTTGTTTGATGTATTACGCATATATGTGTTTGCACGCGTGCGTATGCACTCTCGCTGCTGTTTTGTGTCAGGCCATGTCTCGCGAAAAAGATGTACCCCTTTTTCACAACTGACCGTCTTTGACGCGTCAGTTGTAGCGGAGCGTCCGGTTGCTCCAGCGGGCCTCCAGTTCCCGCCGCCATGCCGGCGGACAGCAATGGTCAGGAATCTAAGGACGACAGCTGCGCGACGACGATGGAGACGGAGGGCCGAGAGGCCCAATATGCATCAACGCACAGCGCAGCAGGAGGCTTCACAGACCAGCAGATGTAGGAGTTGTCTCGAATGTTCCGAGAGCAGATCAATGCGGCTGTGAAGCAGGCCGTGAGCGCATGATCAGAAAATGCGGCTCGACACGTTCACGGTGCAGCGACAGACAGCGACGCCTCCGACCCATGGGTGAAGATAGACCCACGGCAGGGAGGCGGCGACGGTCGAGGCGGAGACCGAGGAGACAGTAATCGATGGGACGCAGGAGGCTGGCGGGCCGCTCCCGGCGACGCGCGGTGGGAATCCTCGGCCCCTGCACGCAGGACACTTTAGGAACCATCATCAGTCTACCATAAGAATCGACTGAGCTCAAAACATTTGGGTGTGACGACCCAGCGAGCTCCCTATGGGGCTATGAAACGTGTGAGGGTTGTGCCGAAATTGGTGTGGCGGACGCATGTGGACGGTGCCACTGGGGCCTTGGGTGGAGCTCCCTCTGGGGCCACGAAACGTGTGAGGGGTGTGCCGAAATGGGTGGGGGAGGAGGAGGAGGAGGAGGAGGAGGAGGAGGAGGAGGAGGAGGAGGAAAAGGAGGAGGAGGAGGAGGAGGAGGGGGAGGAGGACGAGGAGGAAGAGGAATATTATTGAGAAGAGTGATAAAAATAATAATTCGAAAAGGCAGAATAATAAGAGTATGAACACATAATATTAAGACTTTAATCACTTGAAGGATAATAATATCATGTGTATTGCGAATGCTTATACTGTAAAGAAGAAAAGCAACACGACCACGGGGAATAAAAACAAGAAGACGAATACTATTGATACTATAAACAATAAACATTTGACTTCGAATGCGAATTCTATTAGTTCGAGGAGTATTGGTACGAATAAGAAACACGATATCAATGGTTATATTCATAAAACTAATAAGACGAAATAAGAAGAGGAGGAGGAGGACGAGGGGGAGGAGGAGGATATAGAGGAGGAGGATGAGAGGAACCAGTGCGAACCCAAAACTCACTAACGATGTTGCAGCAGACCCTCCTCCCAAACTCCCTCTTCATATGCCCATAAGCGGTTCATTTCCACTGAGGGAAATGTCCCGTCTGGGGAGAACAGTTTGAGATTTCGCGAACCGTGCCCGAACATCATTCTTGGGACTTCCAACGCCTCGGATCAACCCTACTGTTGCGCTTTGGCGATCTTGTATCATGCCAGAACGCCACTCCTCGGATTTCAACACAGCGAATCAACGTAAGTGTCGTGTCCTGACACTCCTTTATCGTTCTGAAACACACTATGTCGTACGTTGGCCATGGGACTCCTTTGAACATGTGCAACTTTGAGCGAATATGCGTGGCGCTAAGGCGAGAACCACATTTAGAAAAGGAACCACTTTCCTCCCCGCGAAGCTCTTGCAATTTCTCAAAACGAATGCGCGCGGCACTAAAGCGAGAACCGCATGTTTCAAACGACCTGCCCGCAACAGTTTGAAACGAATGTGCGCGGCGCTGAAGCGAGAGCCACATTATGGAAACGACCCGCTCTCCATCTGCGAAACTGCTGCCAATCTAGAAGTTTCCAGGTCATAAGTGGCTGGGAAATCTCAATCGAAACGCCTGGCCAGCTCTTCCGGCCGCCCTCGGGGTGCAACAGGGAGGAGTGGTTCATAAGGAGCAGGACTGGAGGAGGAGGGGGAGGATGAGGAGGGGGGGGAGGAGGAGGAGGAAGAGGAGGGGGAGGAGGAGGAGGAGGAGGAGGAGGATGAGGTGGAGGAGGAGAAGGAGGAGGAGGAGGAGGAGGAGGGAGGAGGAGGAGGAGGAGGAGGAGGGAGGAGGAGGAGGATGCCAGAGGAGGAATAATAATAATAATCGTACGAATAATACCAATAATAATAACAATAATAATAATAAGAATAATAGTCGTGCTAGTAATAATAATAAGAATAATAATACTAATAATAATAATAATAATAATAATAATATTAAGAATACTAATAATTCGAGGAAGAAGAATAAGTATAATAAGACGAATGATACGAAGAAGAAGACGAATACTAATACTAATAATAATCATAGTCATAATGATAATACTACCAATCATAATAACAATAATCATAGTAGTCGTAGTAATAGTAATACTAATACGAATTCTACTAATACGAATAATACGAATAATAATAATAATACGAATGCAATTACTGATACTAATACGGATACTGCTGATGAACATACTACTAATAATAAGAATAAGACGAATAATAATAATAATAATAATAATAATAATAGTAATACTAATATTATTATTAGTAATAATAATAATAATCATAAGAATAATAATAATAATACTACGAATAGTAAAAAAGAACCAGAAGAGGAGGAGGAGGAGGAGGAGGAGGAGGAGGAGGAGGAGAGTCGAGGACGGCGAGGGTCAGGTGACCTGGCTCCCCCCCGAGGAAGAAGATCGCCGAGACCGCTCCGGGAGAGCGGCGGCGGGTCAACTTCGGGGCCACGGAGGAGGCACCGGCCGCCGAGGTGCCGCGGCCCGCGCGGCCCTTCTCCTCGGAGGAGGGAGCCCAGCCGTGCGACGCCTGCACGGCGGGACCGAGGCGTAAGGTCGAGGTCGGCTCGGGGAGGGTGCGCTGGGGCATCCTCTGGTCTTTTGGGGGCGTTTTTGGTAGGGCGACGAGATCTATGCATATCCACTGCTCCTGGCCAGGCCCATCCTGGGCCCAGGAGCTGTGTATATGCCTCCCTGGCCAGGCCAGGAGGGCGTATACACCGCTCCTGGGCCCAGGATTGGCCTGGCCAGGAGCAGTGGATATGCATAGATCTCGTCGCCCTATTTGGGGTCCTCTTGGGCCGTCCAGGGGCCGGGCGTCTCTGGAGCGATCTTCGGGCGACTTGGGGCCCTCGTTGGCCGTCTCGGGGGGCTTTGGGAGCCCTCTTGGTCCGCCTTGGAGCCCTCGTCCATCCCAACGAGCTCAGCGATGGTGGGCGCCAAGACCGAGAAGCGCCCTAGAGCGCGCAGAACTCGGGGATGTGAGCCCCGTAAAGAGTAATTGCGCTCCATACAGAGGGCCCTCCCGAGGACAGTCCGTTTCGAGCCTCGGGGCACGGTGGCGGATTACCAGGGGGCAGCGATAACCACATCCCCGAAGGGGAAGACGGGGGTCGCGGGCGGACCGCGGCATGAGATCGATGCTCTTCGTGCATCCTGGGGGAGGGGGTGCCCTCGAATGTTCCTGATCTTGGCCTCGGGGGCCGAGCGGGGGCGCTATTCAGGCAGGCCCAGGATGAGGGTACACGGCTCCAGAGCGCTCTGGAACGCTGGAGCGGCAGCATCTCGGGAGCCCCGAGGTGGAGCGACCCCAGACCCCCGACGTAATGAATTTTTCATTACGTCGACCCGAGAGTTCTCGACCCCTTCCCCAGGACCGGTTTGTCATCCTGAGTCGTTTTTTGACGCTCCCGAGGCCCGGTGAGGGCCCCCGGAGACCGAAAATTAGGAAAAACCTCCCGTCATGATTTTTTCATTACTCGAGGGGGTCTGGGACACGAGCTGTGATCCACAGAGCCGCCAGCCTGCAGAGATCTTCGATTTGTCCTATGCGGTATAGGTTCGCGCCGCGTCCACCGGCGGCGGCCCCGCCGCCGGCGCTCGACGTGGAATGCCGCCGGAGACCTGGAATCGTCGCCGTGGGGGAAGCGGGTCCTGAGGAGGAGGAGGAGGAGGAGGAGGAGGAGGAGGAGGAGGAGGAGGAGGGAGGAGGAGGAGGAGGAGGAGGAGGAGGAGGAGGAGGAGGAGGAGGAGGAGGAGGAGGAGGAGGAGGAGGAGGAGGAGGAGGAGGGGGAGGAGGAGGAGGAGGAGGAGGAGGAGGAGGAGGAGGAGGAGGAGGGGGTCCTGAGGTTTTTCACCGTTCTCTCTGGCTCTCGGGGCCCTCCACGGGCCCCTGGACTGTCAGGGAGAAATGGTCCTGGCGGACGGCCCCAGGCTCCAGGCTCGTTTCCCTCGGGACCCGCTTCCCCCATGCTGGGATCGGTCGATGCTGGCAGATTTGGCGTTTCTGAAGCGGTCGATCGTTCTAGTTTGAACGATCCCTGCGGTCCCAGACCCCCGACGTCATGATTTTTTCATGACGCGACCCCCAGAGGTCCGGACCCATTCCCCGGGACCGGTTTGTCATCCTGAGTCGTTTTTTGACGCTCCCGAGGCCCGGTGAGGGCCCCCCGAGGCCGAAAATGGCGAAAAACCTCCCGTCGTGATTTTTTCATTACTCGAGGGGGTCTGGGTAGTTTGAACGATCCCTGCGGTGCCAGAAACCAGCGCCAGGGTCGTCACGACGCGAACTTGCCGTGCAGATATCAGGACGGAGCATTCTCGTCGCTTCTGGCCTCAGGGCGCCCTCCCCCGGCCCCCGGGGACCGCTCAAGGACCGGCTCGGGGTGAAAGCACCGTCGGTCCCGGTGGAAGGGTCGGGACTTCTGGGGACTGCGCATTGAGCAGATCTCAACGACACCGCAACGGGTACTTACTAACGGGTACTTTGCAATTTTGCAGAAAGTTGCCACTTTAGGGCCTCTTTCTGGCAATGCAGCGTTGCCCACATCGGGAAGGGTTGGGTTCGCTGGGTCAGTGGCCAAAGTACCCGTTAGTGGAGTCCCCGTTTGAGGGGCGCTGACGTCGGTCCCGGTGGAAGGGTCGGGACTTCTGGGGACTGCGCATTGAGCAGATCGATCGAGACCCCGTGCTGTCTCTGCGGCGCGAGGCCCTGCCTCGAGGGCTGCGGCGCGAGGCCTCACGGCCGGTGCCGCCGGCCCCGAGCTGGGAGAGGCAGGGGTGGCCGCCGTGCAGAGGAGCAGATTTTGACCCGAAGAGCGTCGTCCCGGCGCAGCCCGGCCGCCGACGAAGAGACCCCTTTTCGCTGGGGACCCAGACCCCCGACGTCATGTTTTTTTCATGACGCGACCCCCAGAGGTCCGGACCCATTCCCCGGGGCCGGTTTGTCATCCTGAGTCGTTTTTTGACGCTCCCGAGGCCCGGTGAGGGCCCCCCGAGGCCGAAAATGGCGAAAAACCTCCCGTCGTGATTTTTTCATTGCTCGAGGGGGTCTGGGGAGGTGGCCGCCGTGCAGAGGAGCAACAAATTTTTTGACCCGAAGAGCGTATCGTCCCAGCACAGCCCGGCCGCCGACGAAGAGGCCCCTTTTTCGCTGGGGAGGGGCGCGGTGTTCCCCAACGATCCTGCAGCTTTTCCGGAGCTTTTCCCCAGGTCTTCGATGGGAAGTCGAAGGTCAGCCCGTGGACAGACTTCAGGAGCGAAAGAAGGACGCACATGTACATGAATCCACGCTGGTTTCGAGAGCACGCGTTGCACAAGTGTTCGTATAACGCGGCCGGTCTCGCGAATCGAGGGGCCGTGTTCATGTACATGGCTGGGCGCGTACGTCCTTTGTGGGCTCCCTCCTTTTGGGGGGCAGCCAGCCGCCCTGGCTCCCCGCCTCAGGCCCGTCCAGCGGGCCCGGGCAGAGGCCGAGGCCTCGTGGAGCGGCCCAGGAGGAGGAGGAGGAGGAGGAGGAGGAGGAGGAGGAGGAGGAGGAGGAGGAGGAGCGACAGCGCCTCGACTGCACTGGCCGCGCGCGCCCGTGCTGGCCGCCGGTCGTCCCGTGCGGCCCGCGCGGCCGCGTCCCTGCCCACGCCCCCGCGGGAGCTGGCCACGCGCAGAGGAGGGGGAGGGGGGAAGGCTTCTTAGAAGCACCCCTGCTTCTTCGAAGGCGCGGGCCTGCTCTATATAGACGTAGGGCCGGCGCCTTCCAAGAATCGGCCCGCTCGCGAGGGCCGGCGCGCCCTCGCCCTCCCTGCCCGCGCCCGCCGGCTCCCCCCCCCCGGAGGAGGAGGAGGAGGAGGAGGAGGAGGAGGAGGAGGAGGAGGAGGAGGCGGAGGAGGAGGAGGAGGAGGAGGAGGAGGAGGAGGAGGAGGAGGAGGAGGGGGCCCCGTACTGGGTAGTCGAAGGCCAGACTGTCAGACTGAATTGGGCCCCAAGGGCTAATCTGGCCTGGCCAAGCCGGATGATTTGGGTAATTCGCCAGACTGGATTCGCGTTGGCTCCCTCGCCAGATTGCCCCCGTTTGCCAGATTGGGCCTGCCAGATTGGCGCCAGATTGGCTCCGACTACCCAGCCGTGGCCATTTTGGCTCAAGCCATTTTGGCTCGAGTAGAACATTTGCCAAGCCAGCCGGGCAGGTCGGCTTCTTCGAGCTTGAGCCACAGGCGGCCGCCAGGTCAGGCCTGAGCAGCAGTTTTGCTTCGCTCTGTCCGCTGCCTGCTGGCGGTTCAGCTCTGCCCGCTCGGTTTGTCCGCTCGGTCAGAGCTCGCTTCGTGTCTTGCTTCGCTTTGTCGCTCGGTCAGAGCAACCACGTCCAGAGTCATTTCGCCTCGAGACAGAAACCATTTTGGAAGTGCATTTGCGGCGGTTCCAACCCGCAGGGCCAGACCCACTGCGGGTGGTGCAAGCAGCACTGCCGGCAGTCGGGCGCTTGACTGCCAGCGGCCCAGGCGCGCACTCGCGCGCCCGGTGCCCGCGCACCGAGTGCTCGTGGCGGACGAACAGCAAAGGATTCGTCGCAGCGCAAAGAGCCCGAGACAGCACCATGGAAGGAAAAGGAGGAGAGTTTCGTCATACCTCCCGGCAGCGGCCCGCCTGTTGTGAGGATGGCGGCTCCGTTCGAGGCGTTGCAGAGCGAGGAGTACCAGCCGCTGAAGTCCTGGTGCCGCAAATGAGGAGAAGGACGAGTACTGCAATAATGTGAAGAGCAAGCTCGCGATCGCGCAGCAGCAGGACAAGTTGAAGCCGGCAGTGGGCGAGGACGCCAGCAACGCGTTGCGCCTCATCGGAGTATACCGCAGGATGCTGATCTCCGAGAAGACAGTGTTCGAGCAGTTGGCCTGGGTCGACGCGTCGATCATCAGGAGCCGCAGATCGTCGAGCACATCCAGAAGGAGGCAGGCGATGCGCATAATATTGCAGACAAGAGGTACGCCAAGCTCAGGACCTCGAGGGAGCACCTCAAGGCGCTGATGAGGAATAAGGAGGAGCTGCAGACTATGGGTGCTGCCTTCGAGGCCGAGGAGAAGGAGCGAAGTGGAGCCGAGGAGTGCATGGGCGACGACGTGGGCGGCGAGGAGTGGAGCACGATGGCGACGCGCAGGAGTTGCCGCATGGTCCGCCTACATCCTCGCCCAGAGCATCACCGTCGGCAGGAACACAAGGATATCGGGGCATGGCACGCCGAGGGGGGCAGACATCGAGGGCATCTTCAGCGGCGCCAGCAGCTCCCAGCAGCTCGATTGCCGAGGAAGAGGTGAGCAGCATGATCGGGCAGTCCCAGAAACCGCTGATCGAGAACATGGTCGGAATGCAGCACATGATCAACCATATGTGCGCGTTCATGATCCAGCAGCTGGCTGCCTCCCTAGCAGCCGCCCCAGGCAATGCGGCCGCGGCTGGTCAGCCTTGACCTGGAGCAGCGGCCCCC